TTGTGGTGTATAGAAATGCCTCAGATTTCTTGGGGTTAATTTTGTATCCTGCTCCATTGCCAAATTCATGTATTAAGTCTAGTAGCTTTTTGATGGAGACTCTAGGGTTTTGTATGTATAATATCATGTCGTCCAAATAAGGACACAGTTTTACTTCCTCCTTTCCAATTTTGATGCCTTTTATTTCTTCTTCTTACCTAATTGGGGAAATGGTGTTAGTTTTTGTCCATTGAGTATGATGCTGGCTGTGGGCCTGTTTAAATAATGAAATTTAAGAACACAATAAAGCTACTACAGTTAGGTCTTCTATAATGCTTATTTTGAAAACACAAAGTTGTACCAATAAAGGGGAACTGTTTGAGCATAATACAGTTTCATATTTGCTTATGTGTGATTTCATGTACTTGAAACACTAGGTGAATGCAGAAAACTATCCAGATGCCCTGAGCCACAAAGAAGTACGCAAAATTCACACATGTATGTCCCTTAAAGTGATCAGTGACTTCAGTTTAATGCCTGTGGCCCCAGCCACACCTGCTCACTGCTGGCAGTGTACCTTTCCATCTGATTTTAAATCTCTCTTCTGCTATCACTTCACTCATAGGCTATGATCCTATGAGTTCTTTTTTTTAAATTTTAACGTTTTAATTTTAGTTTTTGAACCTTCAGTTCTTTTTCAAGTTAAAGTTTTACATTTATTATAATATTTATGTATTTCTTAACCATCTACCACATGTAAAGCTATGCTATAATTTTTTTGTACATTTTCTATCTGCTTCTTATGAATCACTGACAAAGTTTTTGAGTGCTGTGTGTGTCTAACTGCATATTTCCTATAAATCCTGTAGTTTTTGTTGTTTTTTTGTATGCTCACCTTAGGATATGTTTATTAATTTTAGAGAGTGAAAGGAAGGGAGAGAGAGAGAGAGAGAGAGAGAGAGAGAGAGAGAGAGAAACATTGATGTGAGACAGAAACATCTATCAATTGCCTCCTGTATGTGCCCCAACCAGGGATTTATCCTGCGACTCAGGTATGTGCCCTGACTGGGAATCAAAGCTGCAACATTTTGATGTACCAAATGATACTCCAACCAACTGAGCCACTGGGACAGGACAGTCCTGTAGTTTTAATTGTACAATTTGTAGTAGTGCTATGTCTAATAGTATGTCTGTTAAAACCAGGAGAATGCACACAAGTATATTATCTATAACTAGGAGCCCAGTGCATGAATTTGTGCACCTTGAAAGTAACTGTGGGCCGTGAGGCTGCAGTGGGCACAGGGGCGGGTCTTGGCCAATCCTCCATGCCCCTGCCTGGCCCCTCCCACAGCAGCCCCTGGTCCCCTGTCTGCCGGCAGCCCCACTCCAGCAGCCGTCACCACTCCCATACACTGACAGTGCTGGCCCCACTTGCACCCGTGCTGACGGCAAGTGGTGGCTGCTGCCTCAATCGCCCCTCAGGAGCAGGGGGAGGTGGAGAAGCCCTCAGGGGTGGTCAGGGCCAGCAGCCACCGCTCACACCTGCTAATGGTGCCAACCAATTGGGGCCAGCACTAGGCCCGGCAGCGGGTGCAAGGGGGGCCAGTACCAGCAGCAGGTGCGAGCACCAGGCAGGATTGTGGCACGTGGGAGCAAAGAATTTTCAGTAACCACCAGAGGCTCACCCCCATGACAGTGACTGGCACCCCACCTTGATCTGGTGCCCCCCCTCACCTGCTTCACCATCTCACCATGGCCAACGCCCACTATGTTCCACGCTCTGCTTCCTGCTGCCAATGCCTGCCATGTTCCACGCACATACCCTGGTGGTCAGCACATGTCATAGTGACTGGTTGTTCAGTTGTTCTGCTGTTTGGTCTATTTGCATATTAGGGTTTTATATATAGAGATTATAAAAGTGTAATATGCTAATTAGACCAGACATCCTTCTGGACAACCTTCTGGAGGAAGCTGGGGCGGCAAGGGAAGCCCAGGTCCTGGGTGCCAGAGGGAAGCCGGTGCCGGCAACTGAGGAAAGGAAGGCCTACTCTTGCATGAATTTTGTGCATTGGGCCTCTAGTATACATATATGTAGATACAATATTAGAATACAATTTAGACATTTTAAATATGAATCTAGAAAGCTTGTTTTATATATTAGTGGTGAATGCATCATTATAAGTATTTATTAAATGCACTTGGAAGGGCTTGCTTTAAAAAGATGATCAGTTATATTAAATAAAAGCCATTAAATATGCCAGGTATATCTAGATGTTTCTAAATTAGGTGAGATTTCTCATTTACCTTTAAAGGAAATTATGTGAATTGTATTCAGCCCACAGTTGGCAAGTGGTTTTTATCTCTTTTTCCTCATTTATAAACCTCATCTAACAAGAGTTAACAATGATTCAGAATGGGCAGCACAAAGCTGAATTTTGGCCATCCCTTTCCACAAAAAACGAACCTGCTTTCTTTCTTAGGGTCTTTCTTTTCTTTAATGAGGGCATACAAGCCACTCAGCACATCCCCAGAGCTTCTTAGAACCTTTCCCTTGAGAAATCTCAGTGAGTACAAGGAAAAACAACTCTAAAAAATTAATGAAAGGCCCATCACTATTTGCCTTTCTCTCTCCCAGTCTTTGCCCTCCACACTTTCTACTTTCTACATGTCTCTTCTCAGTTTCAAACGTTTTTCCTCTTCTTTTCCCAAGGTGAGCTGCCTTTTTTGTCACTCCATCTGCAAAAGGGATGGGGAGAAGATTGTACAGAAATCACCTCCTGACGCAGTGCTTGTGTTCCTAAGGACCAGGCTCCAGAGGGACAGGGCAGGGGCAGCACGGGGAGATGAGAAACCCCAAAAGCTCTGGCAGCCTCTTGGAACATTCTCTTTTCTTCCTGTGCCTGCGACAGACCTCTCTCAAGTTCAAATCCTTGTTTCCTCAGGAATGCGGATCAGGGGGTTTGGCAAGTATATTTTTTAGTACATAATCTCCGGATGGATGTTCATGACTGACTGCGCACAGTGATCCTGAAAAATGATACTGTTGTGATGAAAATGCAAACTCTCACTAACTCTGTGGTCACTCTAGCTAAAGGTCATGTATAAGCCCACATCTGCCTCCAGGCAGCAGAGCACCACAGTGCCCTGAGGGCACCTGTACACACCCATCGGTACACAGGAAACCCATCAGCTACAGGTTACACTCTGTACTTCCCTTGCTCCCTGCCTCACCTTGTTCTCGTTCCTTCCCCCAACTCTCCTTCCCCCCACCCCAGCCCTCAGCCCATACAATGGGATTTTTGTTTGTCCCAGGAGCATGTGACAGAGTAGTCCCTGCTTTGCCTAGCTCTGTGCTGCAGGTCTCTCAGGTAACAGGTGGCAACTTCCCCTGTTGGATTCTAGGTATAAAGAAGAATGACCTCATAGGGGCGGGGCTCTGGGACTCCTGCACAGGTGGCAGTTAGAACCAGGTAGCCCTGGAGGGAAGCCGGTTAGTTAGAAGGAGGCAGCTAAACTTGTCACTCTGGTGGCTTTAACCCTCGCCCTGAGGCACTTTAGCAACCAGCCTTTGCCTGCAAGCCTCTGAAGCATGTCTTTGCCTCAGATGGAGCCAGAAGAAGCCACTGGGAAAGGAAACATGGGCACCAAGAAAAAGAACCTGAACTTCTTGAGGTCCCGGCTCTACATGCTGGAGAGAAGGAAGACTGACACTGTGGTTGAGAGCAGTGTTTCTGGGGACCACGCTGGTACCCTGAGGAGGAGCCAGTCTGACAGGACCGAATACAACCAGAAACTGCAAGGTAACCAAGAGCAATCAATTGTCCCAGGTTACTGCCCTCCCAGCTTTTTTTTCTCCTACTCTTCCATTTGCAAAGGAAACACTTAAGGCAGAGGAGGAAATTGAATATTACCTCCTCTCTAAGAGGAAAATAAGAAAAAATAAAATGAAAGTAAATGTAATTCATAAATTATTGGAGCAAGTGATTACGTGCTTCAATAGTTCAAAAGCCAATTCTGAATTATTCTTCCTATTTTTTTTTCTCATGATAAGAGTAATATTTTTTTCTGCTTCCTGCTCTCCTTCCTTCCCCCTTATCCATCTGACTCAAGGAGTGGAAAGCACTAGAAAGGAAATAATTTATAAAGCTACAAAGGAGAGTTTATCTCAATAGATAGGTATGAGGTGTCACACCATGAGACCTATCTAGGTAATTGCACTGAACTGTGATTAAATAGGGGCATGAAACTACAATCACGTCTGTGAAAAATAAAGACTTGTCAGCAGGATGGTGTAACAGGATTTGTTGAAAATCACTTAAGTGTTCATTCTTTTAAACTGAATCAAACAACATCCAAGTATGGTAAGAGATGTTTAGCATGCTTGGGTTGAATGACTTTTGAGGAAATAACTTCAGTTTAGCTTGTGATGGCCTTGAGATAATTTGACACAGTTATTATAACATGCCCTCTGTTTCAGGCCTTGAATTTCTCTATCTCTTCCCATCTACCCTCTCTCCCCACCCCCCTTTTCTCTTGAAGGTCACTTATTCCAGGAAACTTAATTTGAATGTTTGTATTGTGCAATGTTTTAAGTATCCACTGCCATACCTGTTATGTGATCCTCAGAACCCGTCTCTTCCTCTTTGACCACATTGTGTGTGAGTTCTCATAATCCCACCAGAAGCGTCATTCTGGAATGAAACACTGTAATGGGGCCAGAACGACCAATGGGATAAGCTTGTACTTAGCTGGTCTCTTTCATCAAAAATATGCTTGCATTTAGTTGTTAGGATTAAGTTAAAAGAATTAAATCTTTGAAATTCTGACTGAAAAGAATTCTTAGGTGGTTAGGACTCATCTTCATGATAACGGCTATATAAGGACCAGAGCGCAAACCCACCGAAATGATTGCTTTGAACATTAATGAGGAAATGCCTTATATTGTTGCCAAACTAGTTAGAGAAGAGTCATACTAAAAGCTGTATTACCCATTAGATATCACACTTGGGTTTTAAAAAACCTGAAAGCTCAGAAGTAAAACGTAGAGTCAAGTCTTATTCTTAAACAATAATTTAAATATTTTTTTAAAATGGTGGAGGGATGATGTTTGGTCTTTGAAATTAATTATCCTTAAAGCAATAGATACATTGGGAAGAATGCAAATGTAAAAAGCCAGACACATTGGTTTCTAATCCTGTCTCTTTAATTTACCACCTGTAAGACTTTGAGCTAATTATTCAAGATTTCTGAGCTTCAGTTTCCCTGTGAAAATGGGATATTGATGCTATGTACTATTATTAGGAAAATGAAATTAGATAATTACATGAAACACCTAGTATATTGGCTGACACATGGTATGTGCTCAATAAGCAGTAGTTATTTCTAATTTTAGGAGCAATGGGTACCATAGTGATAGGACAGGACTTACCTTCTATTAATTCAAATTTCCTCTTCAACTAATCTATGTCAACTATTTTCTATCCTTGATGAAGAAACCACATAGAGCGATTCTGGCAAAGCCCACTGCTGTATCCCTAATAACATGTTTCTTCTTCTGAGATTCACTGATTCAGCATCTTTTTTGGTTCAGATTTTCCATTAGCAAAATAAAAATGGAAAATACTTTTCACTATTCACTTCCTAAACTTAACTGAAAAAATAAGTCTATGACCACAAAATACAGCTGGTGTTTGTTAGTTACTCTGCAAGCAGAGACTTCATGCTTCTTGTACACTCCACTGGATTTGTTACTGTCTTGTGCTCTGTTGGATCCTGTCTTTGAAGGTGAAAGAAAAGACTCAGGAGTGAAGCTGTATTCCTAGAACTGCCTGTGCTGGAGGAAAATCATCAGGGAGTTTGCCAGAGCACATCAGACCTGTAGGGATAGACTGGCCTCCTAATGAGTAATTTTTTTTAGAAGTACAATAGAACCTTGTTTCTCAAACTTAATTCATTCTGGAAGGCTGTTCAAAAAACCATAATTTTTTTCCCATTAGAAATAATGTAAATTGAATTAGTCCATTCCAGACTTCCAAATAATTCCATTTTAAACTCTCTTATACACAGTACATGCCTAATGCACTGTTTAATCTATAAATAAACACATAAAAAGTATATAAAATGTAAATGAAAATTTAACAGAAAGGAAAGGAAATGTACAGTAAAAAATGAAAATTTAATAATAATTAAAGCAGCAACAACAACAAAAAAACACAAAAATATTCACATCACAGTATTCTGAGATTTTAACAGTGGTAAACTGACTCATATACACACATTCTCTCCTTTGTTGCCTGAGAACACGTGACTGATCATACAGGTATCAGCCTGAAAGGGTTGTCAGATTGCTTGAGATGGGAGACATTTGAGAATCGAGGTTTGACTGTAACTCTTAATAAAACCCAAGTGTGATATCCAGTGGGTAATACAGCTTTTGGCATGATTCTTCTCTAACTAGTTTGGCAACAATATAAGGCATTTCTCATTAATGTTCAAAGCAATCATTTCTGTGGGTTTGCGCTCTGGTCCTACTATATCTATCTATCTGGTCCTACTCATGAAGATGAGTCCTAACCACCTAGAAGCTCTTCATTACTGCAATGGAGAGTTTTCCCTCTGCCTACCTTAGAGCAGGTAGTTCTCTAGGAGGCACTGAATGAAAAACTGAGCTGGTTAGAGCCCTCAGAGAGATGGCCTGCAGCCATGTGGGGTCACAGTGTACTTTCATATACTGGAAGGCTGCCTCAAATTGTTTAGTCACTTGCCAGTGCTAAGTTGCTATCTGAGTATTACAATTAGCTGCTCTAACTCTCTCTCTAGAAGGGAGTTCTGTGTGTTCTGGGAAATATAATATCTTTTCTCTGGTGCCCCTGGGCTCTTAACTCTTACTATATACTTGTTCAGTTCAATTTCTGACAGACATCACTTTAGTAGTGTGAATTCTAAATTGTAACTTTAAAAAAATGTACACTGTGTAAAAGCTACTAGATTAAACAATAGATCATGGTTTTGATGAGAATATCATAAAATCTTTATGATATTGTGATCACATCAGCATAGTCACTCCTACTAAGCCTCAAGTTGTACAATGTGAGCCTACCGTTAGTGGCTTTTTTTATTTCAGTTAATTTATTGAAAATGTTATATAGTAAAGCAAAACCAATACATATGCCAGGAATTCCAACTGAAAAATCATTATGGAAAAAAAAAATCTGACCTTTACTCTACAGGAGCTTAACAGTCTCTTTGGGAAAGATAAGACAGGTAAACAAATATGGTAAAGTGACAGGATAGAAGTGGGGGTGAGATCAGTGGGTCCACAAAAGGAGGAAATGATTTATTCAGGATTGAGTGGAAGAAGTTGTTAGAAAACATTAACAGATGATAAGGTGGGGATGAGGAAGAAGGGGCAGAATGGGGGGAGAAGCGTGTTTTAACCTCTTCATTGTACTTACCTTTGTCTGAAATTAAAAATATGTTGCTTGTTTCTTTGTGAAATGTGGAGTTCGGGGTGCAGATTCTTCTTCTGTGAGTCTTTGTCCTACGAAGTTGAAGAATAAATTCATGGACTAAAAGATTTCTTTAATAAAAATGTGGAAGTTTATTGTAAGTGTATACAACTCTCCCTGGGGAGGGGTCCCTAAATAGAAAAAACCTGCTCGCTCACTCTCTCTAATGGGAAAAATAAAAAAATCTAAAAATCTGCTGAGTCTCTTTGTAAAGGCTGTAGCTCTTTGTCTGAACATGACCTTTTCTAATTGGACCCTTCCTTAATTTAGGACCCTCATGCCATGCTTTCCTCATTGGTCACTGCTACATAGTATCAGCTTCAAAGGTCAAAGCCCATGTGGTATCCCCTCCTTATCTCCCCCTTATCTTGCAACATTCTTCTATCCTTTATGAAAATATGTTGCCCTCTTCCTGGTATCTTATGACTTTTCTTTATCCTCTGTGAAAATATGCCTGCCTCCTGTAACATTTCTCTATCCTCTGTAAAAGTAAGGTAAGAATTTTGGTGTCTCTAAGCCCCCACTTATGGATTCCTCTACCATGAAACCTCCTTATTTCCTAAGACTCCCTGTCCTGTCTCTAAAATTCCTTTCACTTGTTTATTGCCTATTACTGACTTTCATTTCTTCTCCCATCTCTCACCCCCCAAACACTCTACGTAACTGTTCCGTCTCTGAACTTAGAATCACTCTCAGCACATGTGAGCATTCAGTAACTTTCAAGTAGAATGAATGACTAGAACAATCTGGTTCAGGATGGAAATGGGTGTGAATTAATGAGAATGACAGGCTGTCTATCATTCTCATGAATGGCACTAGTGCCCTTATAGGAAGACATTAAGCCCTGAATTACAAATACTTTTGTCTTCATGTGTGAGGATAGAGGTCTCCATTAATAAAGATGATTCTTCAGTAAAAAGAAATAAACATAGCAGAGCTTACAATGTACAGAATTGACTCTATAACAAATAATTCTTAGTGGGAGCCTATCTCATTCCCAACTCTATCTTTTAGAGCACACCAGACCACACCTCAGTTCATTCTTCTTCTTCCATACAGAATGTGAGGGCATCATCTCAGCTGCCTAGCTAGCTCAGCTGCATTTGAATGGGAGTCAGATAAAGTGGTCCAAGCAGGGGAAATTTAATGACTGAGTTGGTAAACTACTTTTTTTTGTTACAATGAAGGAAAGGATTTGGGGGGGGGGGGGGGGGGGAGGTGATTTGTATATGATTATATGTGTGAGTTCTACATTTGACATTTGCTTGATTTAAATAGTTACGCACAAGTGT